TTTTGAGACAGAGTCTCACTCTGTTGCCTTAGGTGGAGTACAGTGGCATCATTATAGCTCACTGCAACCTCAAACTCCTGGACTCAAGTGATCTTCCTCCCTCAGCCTCCCAGAGTGCCAGAATTATAGGTGTGAGCTACGACACCCAGCGTAAGGCCAGAGAATTGATTTCTGTCTAGAAGTTTTCATAAGGAATCTTGGATTGGATTTTTAAAAACTCTATTATTTGATCTTCTATCCCAACCAAGCCCAATACATTTTCCACCAGATTTCACCTGTAGTATGTATAAATTTTGTTAAATTTTTTTTTTCTTTTTGAGGGTCTTCAAATTTGCCAGGGTCCCTGGTTGCTAGGAAGTGACTTTACCACGTTGGGACCCTGTAAGTCAGGTACCAAGCCAGTTTTCTGGCAGTGCTATATAGGGATTGGTTGCACATATGTTTCTTGGCTTATCATAGCTGATTAAGTGATAATCATCTCAAATAAGACACTAGAGGTATGGCCTTGGTTACACAATTGATTGGTCCACTATATCCCGCTAACAAGGATTATAGATTCTTATTGAACTCGTGAACATTACAATATTGCCCTGAAAAGTAAAATTATTTATTTCTGAATTCTGAGTAGCTCAGTAAGAATCAAATATCATTTTAAGTCTACAAAAGCATAATCTATTAAAATTGAGAATTAGAGATAGCTTAAGAAGACAGAAAAAGGACTTCCTCATATATTGATTAAACGTAGAACATTGTAAATAATACCAATAATATTCCAAACAACCACAATTAAATTTCATTTAACTCATTTCATTCATTTCTAGGAATTCTTATTCGGCTGGATCTTGGGTCTGCATTCATGATGTATGTCAGCTTCCAATCGGAAAAAAGTCTTAGAAATTCTGACTCAGTCCCTTGTTCAGTCTAAGCAGTGTCAGCTCAGAAAGAAGCCTGTGCCCAAGACTCTGTTTTCTGAACTCTCCGTAGTTCGGCGTTCCTAGTATAGTCCTTGCCAGGAGCTTTCTAGCAAGCCTCAAGAAACTGAAAGGCTGTGGTTAATTTATTATAGTAACCAATAATAGAATGGGAGCTAATGAATGTGCTCATGGACATAGAGTGTGGAATGATAGACATTGGAGACTGGAAAGGGTGGGGGGTGGGTGATGAGAAATTACTTAATAGGTACATGTGCATTATTTGGGTGATGGATACACTGATAGCCCATACTTCACTACTATGCAATATGTTCACGTAGCAAAACTGTACTTATACCCCTTAAATT